TTACTGAAACCATGCCTTCTTGCTTTGCGTGCACATTTGGGCGGCATTATGCTAATATCTCCACATAGTGAGGTAGATATGTGGGGGCGTGTTAGAACGAGCCATTTTAGGGGGGCATGGCAGAGTCTTAACTTTGATAAAGAATATCTCTTTGGTTTTGAGACTTTAGTCTTTGCAACTTCAGGGATCTTATCTATGCACAATCAGCTTGTAACACTCCAAAGAGAAAGGAAAACTTGAAATCGCATCATATGACCCCTTTAAAAAATCTTGTCGAATATTTTGTAGAAAAGGTACATCGCCATCTTGCTGCAACCAAAGTGACTTAAATGCATCTGATGTCGTAATTACGACTTTCCAACTTGTAAATACAAACTATCCGGAAGGACTTAAAATCATATTTCACAGAACATATTTTAAAATACTTCACAGTGAACAAAAATGATTGAGTAGCAATACGTAAAATATGTAAAAAATAAAATAAAAATTACATTTGTTCAGCTGAAATATCGAGAGTTGGCGCACTGCCAAAAAAACTATACTATGAACAGCATACTGAGCTCAATTACTCAATGACCTAACTTTCACCAAAACGTTATTTTCCGTTAAAATTTTAGGCTGAATAAAAACTTTCATTTTGTTCAATTTCATTTTGGTGCAAAAATATTGCCACAGGTTTGTTATGCAGTTACTAAGGTGTTCAGGTTGGTTGTTTACAAGTGGGATGTTTTGGGAAGTGTTCGACAAGAAACGTTAGCTATACGCTAAGCTAAAAGAAAGCTTAACTTAAAGAAAGCTAGTTACAAAAAATGTCACAACTTTCTACATTTAAACTACTTTACATTGTTAAATAAATGTAAAATAAATTAACAGATAGAACAGAACTGACTGAAAGAACCAAAAGAATGATTCATTCTCAAATCGGACATCGCTAGATCCAATTATAAACAGATGACAGAAAATACCCAACGCACAATTTGATTTTGTAAATATTGCTTGATAAAATTAAAACTATCACACTAAATTCATACTTAATTACTAAATTAGGTTTGCTACTAAAAATCTGCATTATTTTAAAACTAGCAATGCTACAACAGAGAAACATAGCTTTGCTATTTGCAGCAAACGCTACACCCAACACTGTTTCAGGATGGTTGCTAAGGCTAAAGGTTTGTTTAAATCCCAACCCTATGAGTATGAGTAATAGTGATAGTGATGCTTGCCTTAGCAAGCACAACTAATTATTCAGTCATGACATGCTGAATTCAAGGAGAAAATGGAACTGGGAAAATAAATGAGAAGGATTAAATTACCAATCACCTTTTCTGCAATGTTTGGCAAGTGGACAGGTCTTATGGGCCAGACATTTGGCAGATGAACATTGGCTAACGCTGAAGACACAGCAAAAGGGCTTAGATAGATCACAGACGCTTCTGTTCGTGCAAATCACACATATATTAGCAAAGGTGGAAAGCATTTAGAGGGTGTACTTGTCCAGAAAATGTCCCTATTAATTCTAATGTCAAGTACAAATGACTAAATATCACGGTTATTATCTACCGCTGCGGCTCCAAAATAGCGCATACAGTGCCTAGACTGGACTGCATAGATGGTGACTGGCTCACATCAGCTGAAATATATATATGTGAGATAAGGTGAACGGGGCTGAGGAATGAGAGATTAAACTCTTATAAGCCCATGACGTTTATCAAGAGTTTCCATCGGCCGGCTCAAAATGTTGTGAATTTCTGGGACTGCAAAGCCGCTCCTACAACAGATTGCAATCATGTCTCTCTGAGTTATGGCTACCTGTTCAAAGTTACGGAGACCAGACACAACAACAAATCACTTGGGTTTCTGCAATGAATTCCAAAGCAGTCATAAGGGAAACTCACCCAAAAATGACAATTCGGTCATCATTTACACACTCATGTTGTTACAAACGTTCTTGTGTGGAGCACAAAAGCAGCTATATAGCAGAATGTCCAGGCTGCTCTATTCCATACAATGAAAGTACGTAGCCATACAGGTTTGGAACAACATGAGGGTGAGTAAATGACAGAATTATCATTTTTTGGACATATATCTCCTTAAAAACGCTCACTGTGAAACCATCAACAACCTCAACTATTAACCTTTACTCAGAGCACATGCAACAGGAGGAGAAACATGGCAGTAGTGCTTGAAGCCTAAAGAGTTTGATTGCGCGGAATCCTCCTGCATTCTTCACATTTCAGCTAAGGGGCTTGGAGGGGTCAGCGTTTAGAAATGAATGATCACAGGAAAGAACACACGCTTCACTTGAACAATTTAGAGTCTCTATAGTTCTGGCTTTGTAATAGGAAGACAGTATAACAAGTATGAGCTTTATTAAGCATGTACAGGAATACAAGCACATGCCATCCAAGTACACAGTTGCTATGTTTTAGAGGAATGTACTTTCAGCAAGGCACCGAAAGAGAATCAATTTCCACTTCTGAATAATCTTTTTGAGGCAGAGGGCCCTCACGAGTCACGGGTGATATTTATTCACAGACAAAAAACTAGTAAATGAACAGAATGTCTCATTTACTGACTATTTGTGCAATTCATCTGGTGCAAACCTGTTAAAGCGATAGTTCACCCAAACATTCTGTCATTTACTCACTTTCATGTCGATCCAAACCTGTATGACTGACTTTTTTTCTGCAGAACACAAAAACACGACATATAATGGACAACACTGGACCCAATTGGCTTTCATTTCAAACTATCCAACCCAAACTCATAAGAAAACATAACCATTTGGTGATTTCGTATGAATTTGAACAATATAATTTGTATCGTATGTATGATTTTTAGAAAAAAGCACAAAGGCCCACCTCTGTGTCAGTGGGATGCAAAAAGAATAAAAACTTAGTTCGTTCGCACGAATTCACACAAATTAGCCACTAAATCGGCAAAATGTTAAATATTTATGAATGGCATTTGGATTGTGTTGAAATATCGTCTTTTGTGTTTCACAGAAGGAAGTAAGGAAGGCTTGGAATGACATGAGGGTGAGTAAACAATGTCAGCATTTAAATTTTAGGGTGACGCATCTCTTTAAATGTCCTGTAAACGTGCCAAATAAGAAGTGAAATGAGTCTTTCTGCCAATACTCCGATGGGAAATGGCCCCAGAGTTTGGCTGAACAGACATTCCAACCCTTATCGTTCATTCCTGATTTGATGAACTTTCATCTGCATGACTTTATCGGAGGAATACAACTCATTTTTACTCAATCAAGACAAGCATCGTCAACAAATTCCACACCGTCTGACTTGCGCACTCACTGAGATTCTTGTGTATCTTCCAAACTACATCAAGTGTTCACTGAAGCAATACCAGTCCGATTCAATTGATATTATGTTGTCAAGCGGGTTTAAAAACGATGCCCCTGAACGCAAGAAGTCAACACATCACTAAAAGGTTTCAGCTAAGGACCACAGTCTAATCTATTACACATGTGACAGTTGGGTAATAGAACAAATATACACCACTCATCAAGCACACAAACACCAATTTGGAATATTAAAAATCAATGTAGACCGTGCCAGATAAAGTCCAGGCAGAAATTCACAACAGTTAGATCAAGAATAATCTGAAAATGATTTGCAAGCGCATCGTCATGAGTACTGACAGTTCAATATATCAGCCAACGAGCCAAGTCGATTAAAAGAATATTTATTAATAGGATATTTAGTCATTCAGACCAATAACTGCGCCCACTTAACAGATTAAAAGATGTATGACAATACATACTAAATACTAAGACAATACTAAATCAAATTCACTATAAGAAATAAATGAAATATCAAAAATGACTACTTCTATTATCAGCCATGCAAATAATCGCCAATCATTGAATAATGGCCAATTAATGGCCTGAAAATATGGAATTTGCTAGTTCCCATTACAAAACACTGTAACATCTGGGGTCTGAAAACCATGGGGTCTGAGTTGGTTGTTGCAATAACTTCAGACCATGACAGTATATATACAACATAAATGAACATAACAGATTCACACAGTTTTTTATGAAAAGTTCAGTATATGTGAACAGCTACTACGGCCATATTAAACTACCGTGCAATAATAGAACAGGACTGGACCTCAAACCAGTTCTCCAGCCTGTTCTGAATGCACAGGGAGTAGGTCGCTACCAGCTGTTTTCGGAACGTCACCAGCTAGAGGATTTTTCAACCAAACTCAAAACTTCCTAAACTGTATTTTTTTCAATCTGTAACACAAAATGCCATTTAGGGCCAAAGCAAAATGTTCAAATCAAAGAACAACTGGACTACATACTGCCTTACGTCAAAAGCAACGTTCCAAAAAAGCTCAAGATTAATAATAATAATAACCACTTTTTCATGCACAACATTTTCAGATTACGGTCTACATTTCCGAATAAGTGAGCCAAAACTGTGTTTAATAAACCAGGAATTTTGGCGTAATCCAGTTACGGCATTCATGCTAAAGTTTATATGAGGCTTACATAAACAGAATATGCTCAAACCCTGAATATTGTTGTGCATGTAAACACAGTCCATGTATCAGATCTGAGTCAAAGCGTCAGTGCTTTATCTGGGTGATGCCAGACATTCGAAACCTAGCAATCATTATGTTTTTGGCTTTGATTATCAGAAACCAATTTACCAGAAATCATTTTGAAAGATGTAAAGCATGAAGACTGCTCTGAACACATATATTGCCTGACAGCTGTAAGGCTGGGTCTCTGAGCATAGATATGAGAACATGTTAAGAGGCAAAGATGTAACAAACTCCAGATCTGGGAGATGGAATATTAAACCAATCACAAAATATCACATGGAAACCAGATGTAGTTCAATGGAAGAACAAATCTACATACGCCCCTCTAGTTTCCTCTAGACAAAGTAAATAGCACAAGTTTGCTTACAAGAAGCCCACGGATTTAGGAAATGTAGATGAAAGAAAAGAAAAAGACTGGTGCATACCACAGCATGCCTCCCTCTCTCTTTCACTCTTTATCCTGCAGCAGCAGTATAACCGGCTCAGAGATTCATCAAGATGAGGAAGAAGAACAATAATAATAGTCCAGCAGTAGTCCCATAAACAGTTCACCTTCTGCAGCTGTCCGACCGCAACACAAGCTCTTCTTTCAATGACTGATTGTATTCTGAAAGTTTCCAACAATCTGATCTGTGGCTCTCTTCCCAAACGCAGCACAAAAGACACAAAAACATCGAAGGAAAACCCAGACTGGAATATCAGATCACTGTTTCTTGTTGGAAAGGAGGAGGCGTTGAAGCACAGAGAGAGAGAGAGAGAGAGAGAGAGAGAGAGAGAGAGAGAGAGAGAGAGAGAGAGAGAGAGAGAGAGAGAGAGAGAGAGAGAGAGAGAGAGAGAGAGAGAGAGAGAGAGAGAGAGAGAGAGAGAGAGAGAGAGAGAGAGAGAGAGAGAGAGAGAGAGAGAGAGAGAGAGAGAGAGAGAGAGAGAGAGAGAGAGAGAGAGAGAGAGAGAGAGAGAGAGAGAGAGAGAGAGAGAGAGAGAGAGAGAGAGAGAGAGAGAGAGAGAGAGAGAGAGAGAGAGAGAGAGAGAGAGAGAGAGAGAGAGAGAGAGAGAGAGAGAGAGAGAGAGAGAGAGAGAGAGAGAGAGAGAGAGAGAGAGAGAGAGAGAGAGAGAGAGAGAGAGAGAGAGAGAGAGAGAGAGAGAGAGAGAGAGAGAGAGAGAGAGAGAGAGAGAGAGAGAGAGAGAGAGAGAGAGAGAGAGAGAGAGAGAGAGAGAGAGAGAGAGAGAGAGAGAGAGAGAGAGAGAGAGAGAGAGAGAGAGAGAGAGAGAGAGAGAGAGAGAGAGAGAGAGAGAGAGAGAGAGAGAGAGAGAGAGAGAGAGAGAGAGAGAGAGAGAGAGAGAGAGAGAGAGAGAGAGAGAGAGAGAGAGAGAGAGAGAGAGAGAGAGAGAGAGAGAGAGAGAGAGAGAGAGAGAGAGAGAGAGAGAGAGAGAGAGAGAGAGAGAGAGAGAGAGAGAGAGAGAGAGAGAGAGAGAGAGAGAGAGAGAGAGAGAGAGAGAGAGAGAGAGAGAGAGAGAGAGAGAGAGAGAGAGAGAGAGAGAGAGAGAGAGAGAGAGAGAGAGAGAGAGAGAGAGAGAGAGAGAGAGAGAGAGAGAGAGAGAGAGAGAGAGAGAGAGAGAGAGAGAGAGAGAGAGAGAGAGAGAGAGAGAGAGAGAGAGAGAGAGAGAGAGAGAGAGAGAGAGAGAGAGAGAGAGAGAGAGAGAGAGAGAGAGAGAGAGAGAGAGAGAGAGAGAGAGAGAGAGAGAGAGAGAGAGAGAGAGAGAGAGAGAGAGAGAGAGAGAGAGAGAGAGAGAGAGAGAGAGAGAGAGAGAGAGAGAGAGAGAGAGAGAGAGAGAGAGAGAGAGAGAGAGAGAGAGAGAGAGAGAGAGAGAGAGAGAGAGAGAGAGAGAGAGAGAGAGAGAGAGAGAGAGAGAGAGAGAGAGAGAGAGAGAGAGAGAGAGAGAGAGAGAGAGAGAGAGAGAGAGAGAGAGAGAGAGAGAGAGAGAGAGAGAGAGAGAGAGAGAGAGAGAGAGAGAGAGAGAGAGAGAGAGAGAGAGAGAGAGAGAGAGAGAGAGAGGGAAAAACAGCTTTGTATCGTTGTGTCTTCCCGTGGGTTCACCACGTTGTTCCGGAGCACTTATAATTTCCTTTGTTGTGTCCAAAACATCCCGAGTTGTCCATGTTTATCAGACATTCCAGCCGTCAGCACGCGGTCTGTGCGGAACAGCGCAAGTCTCCAGCGGAATAAAGGACTTCTCCCAGCATTAAGGCGAAATTCAGTGACGGAGCGCGTGTGAATGTGTGTGTTAATGTGTTTTTTCAGCTTCCCAATAATGGCGGCCCTTCTCCCGTTCTCGGTCTCTCCTCCCTCCTCTGTAGTCTCGCGCATGGACACAATTACCTCACACACACTCACACACTCACACTCTCTCTCTCTCTCTCTCTCACTCACACACACAC